CTCCTATTGAAAGCAATGGGAGTTCTGAACATGGAGGGATCAGGACCCAATTTAGCCATCCTGAGCAAAACATAGTTGGCAATGATATAGAAACAATTTTCAGAGGTGCTAAGTATCCTCAGCTCCTACTGACTTCAACTCAGCTCCTCTGTAAATCAGGCCCTTAGAGCCAGATCTGGTGGCAGCCCCAGTGCAGAGCACTCGCAGGAGAATAGATGGAGCTAGTTCTCATAGGACTGATGCTGATTTTTTCCCATTAATTTATAAAAGTCATAACTCTGTTGCCCTCCCCCTTATTAGTCTAGCCATCCTGTCATTGGGCTTCCTGAGCTTGTCAACAATCCAGTAGAGGCAGCCGCAGCGACATCTGTTGTGAGCCAGTGCAAGAAAACGTTGGTAGTGTAAGAACCACAACTCTAAAGGTGGTACGGCGGACGAGCTCTTCAAAGCAGAATCCATGGGCAGCTGCCCTAGAAAGTTGCTCGTGTCCTTGGAAGTTAGAAGGACCCATTCATATGGGAATTAAATTGGTAGGTGTAGGACTTGAGTAGCAGAGAGGTGTTGGGTGAGATTAAGGAACATAGGCAGAGCTGTGTGGGGAAGCTTGCACAACAGCTGATCATGCTATGCCCTGTTCAAACCAAAGCTGTTAGTCACCACTTCCCTGGCTACTAGATTTTTATTTGTTAGTTGAGTAGCACTATACGGGAAGTGTACATGCCAGTTTACAGTAATTGAACTGTACTAAACAAATAATAATATCCCTTGAGGACTGTCACCTTATAATTGTTAAATCTTGTTCCTCAGTGGCTTGATCATACACTCTGGAAGCTAATGGGAGTTTTGCCGTTGACTTCAGTGAGGGCAGGACCAAGCTCTACGGCCCAGATTTTCAAAGGCATTTTGGCACTGAGATGCTCAGCGTGGCAGCGATTTTGAAGTCTCAATCTTATTTTCAAAAGAGATTTAGGTCCTGACTGTCCAGGACATATTGGCTCATAAGTGCCTAAATCCCCTTTGAAAATGTGATTTAGGCGCGTACATCAGTTAGGTGTTGCAATGTTGAGTGCTGTAACATCTAAACACCTTTACAAATCTGGGCCTCAGTCATCAGATGTTTCTTGTGCATCCAGAGGCCCACAGCTCTGCCTACAATAGCCCTGGTCGGAGACGACCCTTTAGTCCATGCCCTTTTCACCACGCATCCTTATTGGGCCACCTCCTGACCTTTCTTTCCTTACCTCTTCTTCAGTGTCAAAGGTTTCTTTCACTTCGCGAGGACACTTTGGTGAAATTTCCAAGCATCAGTCTAGAACCACAGCGTCTAGTAGAACAAGCCTGATTAGCAATAAGTAGCCAAAAAGCAGATAACCAATATGGGAAGCAGAATGTATCAGCTGATCAGGGTCAGATGACACAGAAATAAAAATGCCCGAGTCTTGCTGACACAACAGCTTCCACCATTCCTAATGCCGGCAGAGGTGCAATGGTGAAGAATTGCAGCTATGGAGACAGCAAAGCCTAGATGTGGGAGACAGGCTGAAAGACCATAGGGACTGTGGAGTGGGAAAGGGTGCACCAGGAGTGAGCAGGAGAAGCAAATGGATGGGAAGTATGGAGTGAGGGGGGCTGTGGGAGAGAAATTTTATTTTTTTTAAAGCGATTACGTGAAGGGTTTCAGGTTAATTGCATTCAAAATTTCATTTTAAGAAAGAATTGCAATCTTACATAATCCTTTCCACAGCCTGAGTTATAAAGTCCCACTACAAGGCTTTTTACAATGGAAAGGCAGACAGACCCGCCAGCACTAATGTTAGCAGGATCCAAACACTGCCACTAGACTAGGTTGTCAGCCTGATGATTTGAAAAGCAGATTGAACTCTTTCTATAGCCAACTGGAAGTTTGTTTAAAACACAACAAAAGAATTGGAAACATTGGAATGAGCAAAACAAGTTTCAGAACCAAGCTGGGAAAGGGAAATGTTAGCGGCTTTCATGCTGCATTGACTTGGCAATTTATTTGCATGTGCTTAGAACCCTTCCTACTGCCTGCTGTTCAGCTTAGTGATATCTGCTGAGCACTCCAGCCAGAGTGACCTGAACTTGGTCCATCAGGCATTTATTATGTATCCCTATGTCACTTTTCATCATGTGGGACTTTTTAACTGCTCTCTAGCTAATGTTAGTTAAGTCCAAACAGGAAATGTTAGGCAGGCTAACAGCAGATAAACAGTTGGCCAGTGTCCCTGGCTATGAACTATCCAGAGCCCCAAAACTGTAGTTTGCAGTGGATCAGCCTGTCAGATGGAGGATGTGTGTCTAACAGCGCTCCGTAGCTCAGCATTAGTTAAGGGCACTTTGAAAGCACCCCTCACTCCACTGCTGTGGCTGGCAGGCTTTGCAGGTCTCTGCTGGAATGAGTACTACGGTGTGGAGCAATATGGCTGGAGCAGCTGACCCCATATGGCCTGGTTGCTTGGGAAAGTATTCTGTTGTTAGCAGCTGTGCTCTGAGCACACAGACTAGGGTACATATATTTTACTTTGATTTGATTTTTGCATTTTTCTGACTGCAGAAATGCCCCAGCTATCTTAATAGCAGAATTACCACTGATGGTCTGACAGCCAGGGGCGGCTCTATGTATTTTGGCGCCCCAAGCGCGGCAATCAGGAGGCTTTCGGCGGAATGCCTGCGGGAGGTCCGCCGGTCCCGCGGCTTCGGCGTACCGGCCGCAGAATTGCTGCCGAAGCCGCGGGACCGGTGGACCTCCCACAGGCATGCCGCCGAAGGCTCCCTCACTGCTACCCCCACAGCAACTGGCAGGCTGCCCCCCGCGTCTTGCCACCCCAGGCATGCGCTTGGTGCGCTGGTGCCTGGAGCTGGCCCTGCTGACAGCAAATTGATTTACTCAAGAAAGAAATATAGCTATTCCAAATTCCTTCTATTGAGCAGCTCCCCTTTGGGGAAGATCTGACGTCTCTATCAGACAGGGCAGGGAGCATGGAGCAACAACATTTGGAAGGGGAAGATTTTTCCTCAAAAGAAGAATTATAGCGAGTTTTGGCTGAGACAGAATCAGTTCATATTTGCCAAACCCTCCCGATTCTAAGTTTCCCTTGTAACAGAGAAAGTCCAGCATTATAAAAACATCTACAGATAGCAAGAGTGTGTGTGAGGCCTGTACACCCGCCAGTACAAGCATCACAGGTCCAGGTCCAGCTGGGAATATAACCTGGAGACCCTGATATCTAGCCCCCAACTAGAACCACAAGCCTCCCATCTAGGGATTATGCTTTTTCACTCAAACTTTATATATTTTTTTCAGATATGTAATAGGATTATTAGGCTATTCTTAATTATAAATAGGATACATGATATATACATACAGTAATATATTATTAATATTAATGTGAGTGTATATAATTAGAAAGAACATAAATAAAACAAGGCATGACATAGGTTATACAAAATAACAACGGGCATAAAAATGGTAAACCAGGCATTATTGTTTACCCTCCACAAGAATGAGGGGCCAATCAATGAAACTGAAAGGCAGCAAAGATGCTAAAAGGTAATATATTTTCACAGAACATATAACTCACCTGGGGTACTCAACGAGGACAAGGTGCTAGGGAAGTACAGGGACTGACCCTGGAGTCACAAGACATCCCAGAAATGCCAGGGAGGAGATGGGAGCATGGTCTCCTCCCCTCACTCCCAGTGTACTGGCCTGCTGAGCTGACAGGTCAAGGTGACTCGAGCATGCTGACAGGAGGGTGCATCATCTACTGTCCCTGTGTGGCTGGGTGCTCCATCCCACAGCTCCCCTGGGGCAGGAGATCAGGACTTGGACTTAACAAAACAATTGAGCCCTAAGCACATGACACTTATTGGATACTAGTTGGGAAGAATTTCACTCCCATGCCACCCCATGCAAAGAAAACCACTGGGAAAGGCAGTGAGGTGGGAACGTAAGTCAGACTCCTGTGCATAACTGCACCACATGCCAACCCCCGCTTCTTGCATTCAGCTTAGTCGGGGCAGAATGCAATGTGACAGGAAGCTATACTGACACTATTGCATCTCTGATTTTTGAAGGTTTTTGGTAAACTTTTAATTTTTGCTAAATGAGGGGTGCAGAGGAACGTTATAAATGTAACTATATTTTAAGGAAGGGGAGGGCACATTTTGGGCCCGCCATATTTATGGCTGTTGGCCTTTCTCCTGTGATAGGTGCACTTATTGCCCGCTTTCTAGTGCAGTTCTTCAGAGCCCAGTCACTAACTTTTACTTTGTGCTTACCTGGGGAATTGAGAAGAACAGACCTTCCCACTCACTTCTTTGTTGTCTGGGAAAACATTAACAATGTTTTAAACACAGCAGGCCTTGATTCGTCAGTATGTGGAGAAGACTGCATCACTTTGGCAGCAAAAAACAGCCCTACCCAGCGGATCTAGACACTGGAGTATTCCCCATGCACAGCGGAATCTTTAGGTGATATAGAGCTTTGTATGCCACCCTTTCTGGATTTGGCCAGATAACAGGTGGGGGGAGGGGCACACCATGTGTCCAAGGTTACCTTATTCCTGCCCGATTCCCAGCTGCGTGAACAGCCCCTCAGGGCCTCTAGAAACCAGTGTTTATTTTGAGGACCAGTCCGCCCACAAGGGCCCCAGGTTCAGAGGTGTAAAATTCTTGCAGTCTCCCTCCAGCCTTGCATTAAGTGCCTCTAATGTTACACCAGGGAATCAGTGGCAGCTAGCTTCATTCTGCCCAATCTTACCCCCCCATCCAACCCCAATGAAGTCAATGAAATGACACGGGGTATAAGCAAGCTAGGGAAGATTTTGCCCAACTCTATGAAAAATTTGTTCCAGAATTAGGGTATTTCTCCTGAAACCTTTAATTATTTTATTATTTATTAATTATTGTTATTATTGTAACAAAACAATGAGATTAGGAGAGTAATAAAAAGTGTATGAATTTTTAATATTACAACTCAGGCACAAAGACTTTCTCTAGCTTCCAATGTTTCTGGAGCAGAGAGGCAGGTTGGAACAATAGCCCATGATTTAAATGGGAAAATTAAATACTGTCTGACATTTCTTTTCACGATGGGTTCATCCTCAGTACCCAGTATTGTGTTTCACTGCCATAGGGAACAGATGCTATTATTATTACACCGCAGAGGCAGCTCTGATATTAGCAATTTCCATGTACAGATATTTATTTGGCATTACATAGTCCATGTATTTAACATGCACTAAACTTTCCTTTAAAATTAACTGCTGTGGAGTATTCAAGTTTTTAAAGCTGTCTCTTTCCCAGCTATGTAGTTATGATATATGACCTTACTTTGATCTGATTAGAAATATTCTGCCCAAGAGTGAAGTGTGTACAGGACTCGGGGGAAATCTCTCTATTTAAAAACAAAACAGAGCCCTAGCTTGGTTTTCCAAGCCAAAAATGTGGAACAGATATAAATTCTTTTGTATTTGCCTATGCTCTAAGGATAATGGTAAAAATACCGGGCTGGAATGCATTCAGGATAATAATGATGCTCAAAGGATATGAGCAGAAGACAGTGTAACATTTTGTAAGGCACATATCACAGAGTCAAAAATAATATTACAATATAACATTCATAGATATATACTTGACTGGGTTAGAAAAAAAAAAGACTAAATCACACTTCAGATGCCTGTTTGGATGTCTCCAAAAGCTCCATTTTTATGCTAAGTATAGATTTCAAATGTCAGACTGAAAATGCATGACAATTGAAAGGGCTGATTGCCAGGATTTATCAAATCCATTCATTTACATATGAATCACAATATCAAATATTATGGAAAGACAGGTGAAAACTAGAATTAAGAGAGGATGCCTTCCAATCCCCATGTTTAAACATAAATTGGACAGGGACTGCTTGGAAAACACTACAAATGCCGAGGAGGCAAAATAAGTGATGGGGCCTTCCAGTATCAGTAGCTGGTTAATAAATATAAATTATATCAGTAGCTGGTTAATAAAACAAGGGGTCTTGTTTTCATTTTGCCTAAACAGCTGCCTGCACTTTGTATGTTCCTTTAGTTAACAGCAGTATATGTTACAATATAGAGAGAGTTGGATACTCTCTTCACCATCATACCCAAAGGGAAAAATGACTCTGTCAACAGAAAGATCACCTAAATGAGAGTGCATGGAAGAGGAAAAAGAATTTGAGCTCACACATACACATATATTATATATATTATAGGTATTAGCATATGCTTGAGTAAGTAAGAGCCAAATTCTCCTCTCAGTAATACTGATGTACCTACATTAAAGCCAGAAGCGTTGCACCAGTGTCCTTTATAGTGATCTCCCTTCAGAAGTAAATCCGAGATTTCAGGCTCCCCTTAAACGCGATGGGGAATTAGCTTGGTCCCACTTAAGTCCATTACAAAACTCTCATGGATTTCAATGGGAGAAGGCTCAAGCTCATGATGAGCCCTGATCCTGAAAACGCTTATGCACACGCTTAACTTTATGCATGTGTGGAGTTACATTAATGTCTATGAGACTATCATGTGTGTAAAGTTAAGCAAATGCTTGGAGAGTCAGAGCTTTGGTCTGCTGAAGAGCCTTTCAGTTGAAATGAAATCTCGGAGGTAACACAACATAATAATAAACACTTAAAAATCTTTATTATGAGTTGGGTGAGGTGGTCTTATTACAAGAGATTTTCGCATTTAACGCTCTGGTTGAATGCAGGACTTGGTATATCCTAAAGCAATTGTTTGTAATTACTACACAGCACATCTGCTTTGGGGGCTGATTTGTGGAGGAAATCCACTTAACTGGAGATGGTGAATTTGATTCTCTTGTGAAAAGAAACCAGGAACTCCACAGCAAAATGAATCTGGTTCATCATGAACTCTGGAGTATAATATTTAGTAAAGACAGGTAGCTGGAAAATTCAGATTCAGTCCTCAAACATCACAGAGTTTAGGGGTATTTGGATCATTGTATTATGAAGGTATTTGTATAACTTGCATCTGAATCTGGGTTTAGAACCTTTCCTTGTCGGGGTGTTCAAATCCAGGCTTTGCTTCTGGCTATCATCCAATTTGCAACAGAAAAAGTCAGCACCACCCACTGTGGTTCTGCCAGTGGGACAGCCAAGCAGGAAGACGGGAAAGAATTGGAAATTTCAAGGAGGTGTCCAGACTGTGGAGGACTGGAGAGCAGATCACAATACTGGGATATCCACCCCGGGAGAAACAATGTTAAGCTGAGAATTAACAAACACAAACTAGAGAAGAATAAAGGCTTTGAAATGCCAGAGCACTGTACAAAAGGAGGTAAGGATTATTCTTCAAGGCTGAAAAGAGCAAGTGTTAGTCACTTGGTACTCCTAGAAATGAAAGCCTGAGATTCCCCAAGTGTTGCCTGTGTCATGAGGAGGAAGGACTAGCCACCCACCTTCTTCTTTCTTTTTAAACTGAGCTAAGACTTCACATGCAGCTTTGGAGCTTGCAGACATATGGCTTCAGTGTGTGTGCCCTTCAAAGAGAAACACGAGCATTCGTGGGCACCAGGCCTTCCTTATGTGCTACTCTGCATATTTATAGCACAACCACAGAATAACCTAGGAGACAAAGCACAGAAATGGCAGCCTGTTTTCTTCCACCAAAAGAGTCTGATTAAAAGCATACCTATGTGAAAGCTACAGTGCAATACTTCTTACACTTCTGTCATGTGAAGATTTAAAAAGCTAGGGCCAAATTCTGCCCTCGGTAATACATGTGGAACCCCGTTCCAGGCTCTATTGAGGCTTCTAGCCATGAACTTCATTGGGGGTGGAATGGAGGAGCACCACTCCAGCACTGGCACATTTGCGCATGCCGCTTGGAATTCCCTTGTGTGCAGATGTAACCCTGGGTGAACATGTGCTACATCTGCCCCTCTGTGTCGATACACAGAGGATAGGAGTTGTTGCAGTCCCTAACTACAGAGCTTTGGCTATTTAGCTCAAGCTGTAGCAGCTCATGTTTTTAGTTTGGACATCTCCTGTTCAGTTCCCCATGTGTCAGCCAAGAGGGCCGTTGTCACACAGACAGAGCACACCCATGGATATACCCCAGCAGGGGGACTCCATTGTGCAGCTGGCCAACTCTGGCAGCTAGTGTCCCAGCCAGTGATAGCAGGGACCAGTTCCTGCACTCAGGATTGCTCCAGGACTACGATCGTGGCTAACCCCTGCAACAGGGGCACAAGAAACAATGGTTCCTTACCCCTCATCCTCCTCCCTTGTACTCCTCCACAGGGATCAGTCACAATCTGGCCCTCAGTAGGGTGGCAGGGGCGGGAGGGACTAGGCCTTGTAAATAAACCTGCCTCTCCCACGTGTCAGTGCGTATCAACACTACTAGACCACCAGAGTCAAACTTTTTCTCCCTTTCCTTTAGTAACCATGTGAGGGGTAGTGTCCTGTGGGTATACACCAGGGCAGGATTTGGCTCCTAATATTTACATAACCATACATGAATAATAAAGCATTTTTCTGTTCTTACTGTTATGACACACACTATACCACACACAAATGTTTACAAAATGGCTCCTTTAAAAAGTCCGACACCCAACCTCTTCCTCCATATACATATTATGAAAACATTTTTCTTTGGGAACAGGAGCAGTTCTTTATAGACACATCTATGAAAGGAAATAATTACAGCACCCAAGTTTGTATAAGAATATATTATTTAAAAGAGCAGTTGAAAAATAAAAAAAATCTATACATCAAAGTTTCCTTTTTTTTGCATCCATGAGGATAGCAACAGTTCTTAGAAAATATGTTCTTGCCATGGTCTCGGCGGCTTTCTACCATCTTTCCTCCGGGCTGAAGGATCCCATGATACTTAGCTGCATCAATCCACTCCGTGAACAAACTCAACAGACCTTTAAGGTCTCATCAGTTCTGTTCTGGTACAGAAGGGAAATTCAGATCAAATATATTAAATGTCAACTAAACATAATAAAATTCAGATGATTATATAGATAAATACACTGTTAGGTCATAATCTCTGGAATATTGCTAGGTAAACAAAGCATGTGCTGCTACACCCACTGGCCCATAAATATTAAGATACAAAGATTAGTTAGATTATGCTGTAATTGTCATATGGCTGCCTACAGGTATTTAGTGCATTAATCAGAATTACTTTTTTTTGGGGGGGGGGACTTCTGTGAATCATTTTCCAGAAAAGGGTGGTTGTTAAAACTTCATCATATGTCTATGGACTTCCAGCCAAATTCTCTATGGGCACAAGAAGTCAGTTGCTGAAGTCAGTTGAGCTGCACCATCTTCTGTCCATGTGTGTCTACTTTTAAAATATTTAAAAAACAAACAAACTCACCTTGTGACTTTTGTGTAGCTCAGAGTGTTTTTCTTTTCACTTCTCTGTGCTGTCAGTTGTCAAACTTGTGCTTTTCTTCTTTTGCAACTAGAATAAAGAGCAAAGCAGAACAAATATCACCACTGGCACATCACAGACAGACTGCCACCGCTAGTTGATCACTAATCCTCAATAAGGTATCAGCTGAATCGCTAATGCAATTGTATACACCAATTTGGTCATCAAAGGCCCCATTCCATCCAAAATAACTATGGTACTTGTCTGGAGAAAGTGCATCTCAGTATTTCTCATTATCTGTTGAGTTAATATCTGAGATCATTCGCTACCTGCTATTATTTGATGGATTTCTGAGTTTACACAGTTCTCATTATACCAGCACTCCTGTGCCGATATACCGTAATTAAGGCTCTATTTGTTTCCATAGAAACTCTGTTTTTGACAGCTTTACATTTCAGGTATAAAAATTCACTTCAGCTTGAAACTTCTCAAAGTGTCAACAAGCCCCCACTATCATCTTGAATTTATTTTTGGTTTCGTTAAGGAATGTTTCATGTTTCTGTCATAGACTTGAGAATTTCCACAAGATTTTCTTTGCCCTTCTATAACTCCCCCTACAAGGCCCGTCTTCTGTTCCTGTCCACTCTCAATCAGAATTAGAATTGAGCTCCTTGGAGAAGGAATTGTCCTTCTTAAGTGTTTGGAAAGTGCCTATCTCTAGTGGTGCTATGGCAAATAATCACCACCACCACCCAGGGAGTGAGGGACTAGGCCTGGTAAATAAATCTGCATCTCTCACATGTCAGTGCATATCAACACTACTAGACCACCAGAGGCAAACTTTCTTTCACTTTCCTTTAGTAACCATGTGAGTGTCTTGTCTGTGTGATATAAACTGTATGTGCTATATAAACCCTGGGGAGTGGAATACTGTGCTCTGTATGTTTTGCTATGTAGAAATTAGCCTGCTTGGAAACTAATTTTCATTTGCATGACAATGAAACATTCTCTCAAAGAGCTGTTAAAGGGACTCAATAAGCTAACAAGATGTTATGGGAATGGCCTACTGGTCACGTTTCCTTATAAGGCTGGTCTACACTGGGGTATTCTGTACTAATGTACAAAGATGACACTGCACACACGCCACACTAGGGTAAACAAGCGATGTGTACTAGTGCAATGTACCTTGTTGTCAAAGCCAGGAAAGCTACACTGATGCAATCCTCTTTCTACCCCAGTGCAGGGTGTGCACAGAACATGTTTTCACCAGTGCAACACTAGTGCAATTTTATGTCAGTGTAAAACTCCCCAGTGTAGACAAGCCCTTAGATCCAATGTCTTTGGAGGAAATGAGAAAATGTTTGTATTAAATACAGATCAGTTTCTTATAAACTTTGAAACAGGAAAAGACAAAACCAAACAGAAAAGCTAGCATCTAACCATATAGGAAGCACATTGGTGTTATATGAAAAAGTAACTTGGGTTGTGCAACAGGAAGAATTACACTGTATTACTGACAGGTTTCAGAGTAGCAGCCATGTTAGTCTGTATCCGCAAAAAGAACAGGAATACTTGTGGCACCTTAGAGACTAACAAATTTATTAGAGCATAAGCTTTCGTGGACTACAGCCCACTTCTTCGGATGCATATAGAATGGAACATATATTGAGGAGATATATATACACACATACAGAGAGCATGAACAGGTGGGAGTTGTCTTACCAACTCTGAGAGGCCAATTAAGTAAGTGAAAAAAACTTTTGAAGTGATAATCAAGCTAGCCCTTGATTCTATATGCATCCGAAGAAGTGGGCTGTAGTCCACGAAAGCTTATGCTCTAATAAATTTGTTAGTCTCTAAGGTGCCACAAGTACTCCTGTTCTTTTTGCGGATACAGACTAACATGGCTGCTACTCTGAAACAAAT